TATTACCGCGTTATAATTGAATTCAGAACGAAAATTCCTTTGTAAATTAAAGAAAACTATTGCAATGCATCATATGATCGAAGTTTTTCGTATACAAAGCTACTGATAGGTCTCTCTGTCAAAGATATAACCATTTGTTCACGGTTTTTGCAGCCAATATATCGGGGATTCTAGACCTTCTCTAAAACCTTCTCCTGACAATAACCAACACAACAACAAAATAATTAGCGAAATCGGTCCAGCCGTTCACGCGTGATGCCGGGACCAAGTGAAATAGGGATTCATTTTTAAATATATAAATATTTTCACTAGCTGTTGAATTTAGATTAAATTAAAAAGTCGAGCGATTCAATATACTTTATGTGTGTACAGTTTAGGTGTTAAGTAGGCGAAATATGTGGTGTGTAGATGTAGCGAAAGTAAAAGCGAGATGTACCGGTTGATCAAATCAAAGCGATGAATTAATGACGCAGGGTCTGTTCAATATTCGAGAAAAGTGAGTGATAGATCAAGACGGTAGAACGTGAGTGCGATAATGATGACGATCAATTAAAGACTGACAAAGGGCAGGCGGGCCGAATTACCCGTGCCCTAATGCAAGCGAGAGAGAGAGCAAAAGAAGCGATAGAAGCTCGGACTGTTGCTGAGCCGAGTACGAGCGATAGATAGAGAGAAAGCATGCCAGAGAGCAGCATAGATGAAGATAACGATAGCAAAGGCGAAAGAAAGCTAGAAGCGAGATGCATATATAGACCGCGATTCGTGTGTCACCTATTGACAGAATATATGCGTATGTATATACGGATGCAAGTGCTGGACCAGATCATGACCATTGCGAAGGCATGTTAGGGCAGACGGACCGAATTGCCCGTGCCCTACGCGATGCTACGAAATAGAGATCGAGAGAGTGATTTCGAAAGGCGATAGAAAGAAAGGTGCGAAACGGCTATTACAGTGAGGGGGCAGGTGTAGATTCATGTCGATTACAATTAGGTACAGTGGGCAGTGCATTTAACTAACAAATAACATGATTTACTTTAAGGCTGCACCACTGACTATAAATACTAACTAATGCTCGGCTGGGAGACCGAACAATACATATATATATATATAAAAGAAACAAATATAGAAAAGTTCTCTGAAAAATAGGAATTTATTGACAAAGTTGCAAAGTTGAATTTTAGTATTTAGTATATACATGTATAAAACATGTAAGTGTTCAATTTCAAATAAATTAAACAAATAACATCTTATATTTTTATATTTTACTGGCAAACCCACGCGCTTCGCTGCTTACAAAATACATTTAATGTTTAGTAATTCATCGAAATTAAACAAAGATAATCAAAAGCAGCAAATATACTTACACAAATTGCAATTATTTCAGAAAACAATTTTTCATACAAAAAGGTATAAAAACAAAATCTATCTTAAAATGCTCTGTTCTGACACAAAATGAAATGAAATAGGCGTCCAAACACATATTTTTAGACCAAATTTGAGATTTTTTGTATGATTTATGATTAATTTATGGACAAGTAAAAACTTTTGTATAGAAACAATGCCACATACTCTGACTATCATTAAAAAAAAACCGCATGCAATTTGGTGTACGCGTTGCGGAGGAATTAAATGAAATAGGAGTTCAAACACACACTTTTGGACCAAATCTAAGATTTTGTTGATTAATTTTGAATTCTTGAGGAACCTATTTATAGAAACGTACAAATTTATTTGTGCAAACAATATCACATTCTCTGACTATCATTTAAAAAACAGCATGCAATTTGTTGTACGCGTTGCGGAGATAGCCGCTTACAAACAAATTTTTGTTTACATATTTATAATATAGATCTATTTCCCACGCCCACACCCACCAACTATGCCCATTCCTCAATTATGTGTCGGCAGGTCAGCTCAGGTTTCGGAAAAATGCCGAACGTCTCAGGTCCACGACCCGAACGTTTCAGGCATGATGCAATTATATAAGGTGGTCTCGTCAGCCTGTTTTAAGTGGCCTGTTATAATAAAAAGAGCTGATGTTTTTTTATAATTTAATTTTAAATAATTTTTAATTTGTAATTAAATGTTTTTTTTGATAGATATTCTTTTGTTAAGGCTCTTAATTCTAGAATAAATTATACAGGGGTGCCACAGAAATCACTAGTGAAATGGGAAACCGCGCAGAGGATTTCCGCTTCAAAATTTCCGTCGTGCCACAGAATTCCGAGCGATTTCATTTTTTTAACATTGTCACAAACCAAATTCGAACTAAGGCTACGGCTAACACCTTTCAAGATTCAATTCGAATAGGGTTCATTTTGCAGTTTTATTGATTTTATCATATCAAAACAATTGGTTTTTATTTTTTTCTTTTATGATATCAAATAATTGATTTTTCAAAGCTGTACTTTTATAATTTCAAAGCAAAAAAACATCCCATATCGTGCGAGTCAAACAAAACAATGTGCTCGGCAACTCTAACAGTTGTCTGGCAACTCTCCGTACATGGCAGCAATCAGCTATTAAAAAAAGAGACATCTGAATTTTACGATAAACTTAATTAAAATAAATAATTAATTAAAATCAAAGAACTACGAAGGCAACATATTAGTATAAAAACCTTGCAGCGCAGGCTTCTCAGATGCGCATCGGACTCGTTTTCGCGTTCAGACGATACGTATGTGGTTTTCTCAAACTACTGCAAATTTAGTTCATTACAATTACCAGTTTTTGGTATAACGATCGCTATGCTTCTATTTGTGCTTCCATGGGTCTGCGCTTAGCCGAACAGGGGTTTTTGACATACATGAAATGGCAATAATGTGTAGAAATGGTTTGTTAGTTTTGTTTTGGCATTTTGAAGCGATGCCACTTGGTGGAACTACAAATGACTACAAATGTTTTCACAATTTGCACAAAAAGTATGCATACGTTTGACGTAAAGGAAGTTTTACTACAATGAGCTATTTTTTGTAATGCTTAATTAAAGAAAAACAGAATGCTTTAAATATAATTAATATTAAATATATTGCTCCGAATTCGACTTAAAAAAGGTGGAATTACTGTATTAACTTCGAAAATCCGAATCGCCCTAAGTGGCCACCTCGCTCTGCAGCGGATTGAGAGCGGAATCGTTAAGTGAAAGTTTTGTCAGCGGATTGAATAGTGATTTATTAAAATGCTTATTTTATTAACTCTACATGTATAATGTTAAATTATTTGGATGAGGGTTAACCACCAATTGAACAACCTTTATGGGAAAGTAAATTCGAATCGTTTTAGGTGTGTTTTATGGGTGTATTTAATCAAATCGCTGGATAAATTGGGAGCGATTTTGATTGTGTGTGGCACGGCGGAATGGAATTGAGGTGATTTTCCAGCGGAAGTTATTTCTGTGGCACCCCTGTATATATTCTTGATCAGCATCAATAGCCGAGTCGATGGAGCCATGTCTGTCTTTCCGTCTTGTTTGTCGGCTAGATCTCAGCGACTATAATATCTAGGGCAACCAAATTTGGTTTCCAGACTCATATGATATCACATTGCTACAAGTGTATTTCAAAATTTCGTCCTTCCGAAACGTCCTTTCGCACGCAGTATCGTAGAGAATGACCATATCTACCAGATTTTCGAATCTGAATCAGATCGGATCAGAATTATAGCCAGAATGAAGAAATTTTTTCAGTGGCTTCCCCCGCCTACTTTAGCCAGAGACACGCTACTCATTCTCTTTCTCGCTCGCACACTCTGCCACAACTCGTCTTAGCTATGTTCACACCCTCACGGAATAACAAGCAAATTCATGGCAGGAATTTTCCTTGGTGCTGGAGACAGGCCTTAAGACAGGGTTGATGAATCAGCTGTGTTTTGTAAAATGTGCCAACTGTAAAATTTTGCTAAAATTAATAAATGAATAAAATGCACTCTGATGCTGAAATGATTGTGTTGGTGACGGCATATATTGTTGCAAAACAAAGAAGGGTAATTTTCTTCTCTCTTTTTGGTTTTGCGTACAGTTTTTGCCTACATCTTGCACCATTCACTTCAGGAATAATTGTTGAACATATATTCCTGAGCTGGGTGTCAGCTGTTCTCTCAGTCCACACACGGTCCCGATAGGAAACTATCGATATAAATCTGTGGATTCGGTAAATCGAGTCCGATGCGCATCTGAGAAGCCTGCGCTGCAAGGTTTGTGTTCTAATATGTTGCCTCCGTAGTTCTTCGGTGGCCAACAGTCTCGGTAAAAGCATTTTTATTAAGTTTACCGTAAAATTCAGATGTGTGTTTTATTTGAACAGCTGATTGCTGTCATGCATGGAGAGTGACCAGACAACTGCTAGAGTTGCCGAGTAAATTGTTTTGTTTAACTCGCACGATATGGGATGTTTTTTTTGCTTTGAAATTATAAAAGTACAGCTTTGAAAAATCAATTATTTTATATCATAAATGAAAAAATACAAACCAATTGTTGTGATATGATAAAATCAATAAAACTGCAAAATTAACCCTATTCGAATTGTATCTTGAAAGGTGTCAACCCTAGCCCTAGTTCGAATATGGTTTGTGACAATGCTAAGAAAAATGAAATCGCTCGGAACTCTGTGGCCCGGCGGAAATTTTAAAGCGGAAATCCTCTGCGTGGTTTCCCATTTCACTAGTTATTTCTGTGGCACCCCTGTAATTTTCGTAGCCGTCTCTAGACACGTCGAATGGCTCTCAGTCGAACAACTAAGGCACTACTTAAGACATCCGCAGAGTAAAATTTTCGATAATTTCTGTCGCAGCGCTGCTCCTAGCTCAACTGGACAGCCAGCCAGCTCGCTCTGACTGCAGGCATTTCCCATAAGACTATCTATATTTTTCCAGCTAGTCAGTTAGCAAAGTCTAATGTCATATGGCTATTACCAGTTGTATGGTATATTCTATGTATAGAAATCTAGTTGTTATCTTGACTGTTCAATTTCGATACAAAATTTCAATACAACCTTGTGCTTTGACACTCATGTTCACAACCGGAAATGAGTGGCAGTTTCCTTTCCTTTTCTGCTTTAGACCGAACAATACGGAATTTTCGAGATTATTGTGGAATCTGAAGAAATAATCCAATGTAAGTCTTGTTTTTCACGATAACCGAACTTTTAATAAATTAACGGTTTTAAAATTTAGATGCCACGAGAAATAAAAGAAGTTAAAGATTTTCTTAATAAAGCACGTCGACCAGATGCGCGTGCAGTGAAAATCAAGAAGAATCCTACAAATACCAAATTCAAGATCCGCTGCTCGCGATTTTTGTACACGCTAGTGGTACAGGACAAGGAAAAAGCGGACAAAATTAAGCAGTCTTTGCCTCCGGGATTGCAAGTCAAGGAGGTCAAGTAGTGTTTCGCTCGTATCCGATTCATTTTATGCATGGCATATGTAAATTCGATTTGGCTGAATTCACATTGATCATAAAATCGATTTTCTTAAATAGCAAACAAAACATGTACCGCAAAAGAAAGAAACACATAAATATTACTACGGTGGCAGTAGTCTCCGTTAGAAGCTAAAATCAAAAACGTATTTTATGGACGAGGCTTTTAAGCCGAATGAATTTGTTTAATGTACGCAATGCCCGCAGCTCAAGTAAATTTTCATATATATATATAAAAAGGAGGGTATAACTTTAAACATCGAGGATATCAGAATGAATGAATTCGCACGTTTAACTGTCTGAAAATATTCACCAGGATTTAGAGCACGTTCGATCTTTACCCTTTATTTTGGTACATGTATTATGAATTAACGTAAAAAAAATATTTTCGTATTGCAGATTGATCGAATTTTGCTACATACTGTCGATTCAGCATAATCGTCGTATAGACCCAATATGTATAGGAGCGTTTTTTAAAACTGAAATTAGTTGCAAATTCAGAACGTATTCTTATACATAAAGATATTTAAATACACATGTGTGTGTTTCTTATCATATTTAGAGTGATTTGTTACTCTTATACGATGGTTTATTTATTTCTCTACATTACCATATATAAAAAAATATTATTTTGTTGACAAATAGAATTACTTGGGCTAACTAAAATTAGACATGTCTCTGTCGATATATTTGGTTTTGAAACCTTTACATAAAGGGAATTGCTTTGGACTGGCAGTGGACGAGAAAGGGCCAATCTAGCTCCATTTAATTCAGAATTTTTTTGGCAGAATGTGTTCAACATTTTGTCCGTTCTAGATTCATATTTCTTACTGAGTATGCAAGTATGTAATTGCTATTTTGTTTTATTTTCATTCGCACAGCTGTGAGTTGTGAAAACGAAAATTTGTTGTATCAGCTGTATAATTTGACGCGTTTTAAATAACCTGGCTACAATTTAAGAAATAGTAAACAAATTTGTATTTAAATTAATTGTCAACTATTGACTTAAGAGGCTTAATGTTATTTGTTGAAATTTTGACGTATGATTACATGTGTTAGTTTTAAATAGCTGTACATGTTTGCATTTGGAACAATCTGGATTAAAGCACGTATTGAATTGTTTCGTGGAGTGTATCTTTACCGATTGGTTCCAATATTTTTTATACATTATTAAAGGTAGGTATAACGGTATAAAGGTATTCCAATTTTTTAAATGATTGATTCCACAAATTGTACCGTTACCCGTCTATTAATAATCTTACACTAGCTTGTTAACGTTTCCCACCAAACAGCCGACCACTTTATTTAAAATTCTAGTGTTGAGAAATTAGTCGCTTAGCTTAGGTCAATATTCATTCATCCATATCAAATTTTGGTCCTTCGAGCCGGATCGCCCCGTCTGATTTTATTTGAAATATATTGAGTAATATTGCTGTTCGTCATGAAGACTCACGTACATTGCATAATTCAGCAGCGTGGTTCGTGCAAATCCCAACTAACTAACTAACATCTACGGAGGCTCAGGAGTTTGTACAGTCGTGCACGTATGCACATTAGAACACAATTTGGACCGATTGGCTGCTCTTTCAACCGCTTTATGGAGAACCTAGTTCATTATAATGAGGAAGACGGATTTGTGGATCCGAATGTGGATATCGCCGAATTTGAGGAAAAGTTTAGTGCCCATGCCGTTCTCACTGGAGCCATAAGTGAGCGGAGCAGTCACGATCTAGTATCTAGATCTAGTACTGTGGAACGCCTATTTGAGGGACAAACACAACTTATGGAGAAGATTCGGGATTCAGCGCCACCCGCTAAGCATTTTGAGACAATGCGCCTTCCTACATTTTCTGGAAGGTACGAAGATTGGTGTCAGTTTAGTGATCTGTTCTTAGGCTCAGTCGACAAGAAGGGTAGTCTTTCCAAATGTGAAAAGTTCCATTATTTAAAGTCCTATCTACATAGATGGTGAAGCTTTGTCTCTGATTAAACATATTCCCATTACTAACTACCAGGAAATTGGGAGAGGCTCAAAAATCGTTATAATAAAAAATCACTAATTGCTCGGTCGTTCATTCAAAACTTTCTTTCGCTGCCAACTGCAAACGGTTTAAACATAATCGAGTTGCGTAAAATAGTCGACACCGCGGACGAGAGTATACGTGGTCTACACGCGCTGAAATGCGACAGCCGCGATGTATTGCTTATCCATATCTTGCCCTCAAAACTAGACCCTGAATGTAAGGAAGCTTGGGCTACTTCCAGTGAATCGTGCAAGGAAAATGTGACCATAAATGACCTGTTCGGCTTTCTTTTCGCCCTGTTTGATGCGCTTGAGTCCTGTCAAGATCCAACAGTAGTTCATGATTCTCCCAAACGTTGTGCAGTTTCTCATCATGTGGATGTGCCAACTACGTCTGTTCGCCACACAGTCTTTATGTGTGCACTCACTTTAAAGCTATGAACGTTCTGGATCGTCGCACGATTGCAATGGAGGGTAAATTGTGCTTCAACTGCCTAAGTCGATCTCATCAAGAAAAGGATTGCTATTCCACAAATACGTTCCGTGCCGTCTGTGCAAGGCGAGGCACCACACTCTTGTCCATCCAGAAGAGATCCGCACCACCCCGAGTGTTGCTGTCAATACATCTGCTGACCCAAACTTGCGCTCGCCCTTGCATTCTGCTGAGACTGATCCTGCCGTGGTCAGCCATCATACATTGGAGTGAGGAGTATTGGCCACTAGTCAAGTCATATTGCCAACAATTTAAGCCACTATAGTCGACTCCTGGGGCAACGAGACAACCTGCAGGATATTGATGGATATTGGTTCGACGATAACGATCGTCGTCGAGTCGCTTATTGTCGCTCACGCATGCTCGTATACAAGTGGTTTGCCTAGGTGTAAACCTTGCTGGGGTTACTCGAGGTCGCGCCACGTTCACTCTGCTCTCACGCACTAGCACAGGTCTTTTCTTCTCTCGAACGGAAATTTCGAAAGTTTCCGGCACTCAAACAACAATATGTCGACTTTATGGAGGATTACCTACAAAGAGGACACATGGAGATGATTCCTTCTTCTACCGTTGCCGAGGATCCCACCAGTCACAATTATTTAGCCCACCACGCAGTATTTAAGACAGATGGCACCACTAAAAAATGCCGAGTTGTGTTCGATGGCTCTGGGGAGGACTGCTCAATATTCACTCAATTCACGACTACACATTGGAAAAGGAATTACTTGGAGTCTGTTTACGGTTCCGACAGCATCGTTATGTGTTCTGTTCGGACATTGAGAAAATGTTTAGAGGGATCCTGGTTTCAGAAGAACACACGCAGTACCAACGTATTTATTTATTTCAATTAATTAACAATTATCTGCTAATTATGGAATAGGAATAAAAAACAAACTAATTATATATGTACAAGAGAGAAAGGAAAGATACAATTTACACATTTTCTAAACTAAGGTAATGATAAATGTTAAATATAATTTTTTCAAAGGATAATTCGGGGGATATTAAATGGTACAAGTAATTATAATTATTGCATAGAACCCGGAAAGGTTCATGCTGGTAGTAATTAGATCTACATATGGATAATCGGATGGGGCGGAAAGTACGGGTTGGTCTGGAGGGAACCGAAAAATCGATTCGTCCCAAAAGCGTTTGGGAGTTCACAATCCCGAGAATGAGCTTATGCATGAATACCACGCCATTGCAAATTCTGCGATGGTGTAAAGAGGGTAGATTCAGTAGTTTTAGCCTAGATAGGTATGGTGGAAGGTGTCTGTTAGAGTCCCAGTTTAGATGTCTAAGGGCGAATATTAAAAATTGTTTTTGAATGGATTCAATAATAATTTGTTGCTCCTTGTATTGTGGACTCCACACACAAGAACAATACTCCAATATCGGGCGAACCAACGAGACGTACAGTGCTTTAGTTATATACGGATCGTCAAACTCTTTTGACCAACGCTTAATAAACGCTAGAACTCCCTTAGCTTTGTTAACAGTTGAAGCAATATGGCTATTAAAACATAGCTTGTGATCGAAAAGGACTCCTAAGTCATTTGATGTGGAGATTCGATCCAGAACATGGTGTCCTAGAGAATAGGAGACCAAATGTGGTGCACGGCGGTGAAAAGTCATAAGTTTGCACTTAGAATGGTTCAAGAAAAGTAGGTTATTTGAACACCAAATGCTTAATTCATCAAGGTCAAGTTGTAGGCGAGTATGCAAGTACCAGTCGGAAAAGGAAAAACAAATTTTAACGTCATCAGCATACATTAAAGTAACTGAGTGCAAAATAGCACAAACAAATTAAAAAGAAGCGGACCTAAATGACTTCCTTGAGGAACTCCAGAGGTTACTTTCACAACATTCGACAAGACATTGTTAAACAAAACACGCTGTGTGCGATTCGACAGGTACGATGATATCCAATTTACAAGATTTGTGGGAAAACCTAATAAAGAGAGTTTATGGATCAGCAAAGTATGATTAACAGAATCAAAAGCTTTACTGAAATCTGTAAAAATGACGTCAGTCTGCAAGCCACTTTGAAATCCTCAGTTGATTAGAGGCGAGAATTCTAAAAGGTTAGTAGATGTTGATCGATGTCTAAAAAAACCATGTTGCGTCGGGGATATAATGCTAGAACATGCGTGTTGCAATTGACGAGTAACAAGGTGCTCGAGCAACTTCGGAATGGCAGATAGTTTAGCAATACCACGATAATTTTCGATATTAGATCTGGACCCTTTCTTGTGAAGAGGAATAAGGTAGGATTCATTCCAGATCATGGGGAGGCGAGAATGCTCCAGGGATAAATTAAATAAGAAGGTCAAAGGATGAGATAGGGCTTGAGCGCAGTATTTTAAAATACAGCTCGGAACTTTATCTGGACCCGCAGAGAAACAGATGTCAATTGATGACAACCCTTCGAAGACTGTACTTTCATCATGGAAGGGAAGAAACACGTTATTAACATGAGGTAGATGATATGGATAAGGGATGGAGAAGTCATAAGTATCCGAGGAGTACGTCGATTGAAAGAAGGTGGCAAATAAATTTGCAATTCCTTGATCTGAAGTTTCTGTTTTAGACTGTTACTGAAGGGAAGAAGGGAACGCGTTAGACTTGCGTTTTGAGTTGACGAACGAAAAGAATTTTTTGGGATTACTACGGAAATTTTTGCCACATTGGGAAAGATATACGTTATAACATTTCTTATTGACCGTAAGAAATTGAGAGCGAACCGACGAATATTGAGCAAAGACAGACAAAGAACCAGTTATCTGGTACTTTTTGTAGAGCCGAGATTTTTTATTTTTTAGGTAAGACAGATACTTGGAAAACCACGGAGGCTTAGAGGAAACAAATACGGTGACTTCAGGGACGTAGGTATCGAGGGCAGAGCATAATGTTTCGTAAAACAGATTGACAGTAGGCTCTATATGAGATGAGGACTGAAGAAAGGACCAATCAACTTGCGAGAGATGTAGACAAAGATCGATAAAATTAGTTTTGCGAAAACATTTTATACGACTTTTTGAAGGTAAAATGGTGTTAGTAATAGAGACCTCGAAAAATATAGATAAAGTAGGATGATGCGGATCTTCTGGAAAAGATATCGGATTGCGTCTTAAAACCGTTGTACGAGAGGCATCGCTGACAAAGATGAGATCTAACAGTCTATCTCTATTATTTCTGACAGAGTTAATTTGGGCAAGCGAGACGTCAGTTACCCCCTCGACGAAATCATGTTGACTTACAGGTAGCAACATGTTTGAATCATCCTGTTGCCAAGATAGAGATGGGATGTTGAAGTCACCCATAACTAGTATCTGATCAGCACAGCCTAAAGCAGAAACTACAGATCGAATTGCAGAAAGCTGGTTCAAATAAACAATGGCATCAGATCTGGGTGGGATATAAGAACAGGTCAAAAAGATATATGCTGTTCCAATACGGATTTTGAATGCAACGAATTCGATACCATGGATGTTGTTGAATGGAAACAGCTCGGATGCAAATGCCGTTTTTACTGCAATAAGAACCCCACCAGCGAATGATGGACGATCCATTCTATAAGTGGTGAACTTGTGGACGAAAATTTCG